TGGGATGGGATGGGATGGGATGGGATGGGTGCTGGGCCTGCATTCCATGCGACACTGGGAGCACTGCATTGGGCACAATGGGGCGGTTCTTCATTTTGGGATCAGGGAACCAATGGGATCTGTCACGCTCCAGTTTTGCAGTTTCAGGACATCCCTGACAGTCAAAACTCTTCAGATCAGGAGGAACTTCCTGCATGGTTTGGGTTTTGCTCCTATTGCCTAATTGCTCTTAATTGTCCATCACCAAGGACGTGTCCTGAATACTCCCCACGAGTTCCTGCACGTTCCTTGCCCRGCTTTTCTTCAGAAAAGCTCCCAGAACACAAAAKCACCAACATTCCCAACAGAAGGATYCAGACAAGCCCAGTGTAAACCCAAACCTGCCTTTTGTCATCTCAGCCTCACGGGAACTGATGCCCAAATTAAGGAAAAAGAAAAATTTAGAACAAAACCACTGAAAGGCATTAAAAGAATAAAATTCCAGGCCTCCCACTCAAACCAGATTCTTGAAACCAAACTGCTGCCTCCAAACTCCACATTACTTTGGATTTATGAAAATTCAGCCTTAGATTTGAGTGTCCCATTGGGACTTTTCCCCTGGGATGTAATAAAAGACAGAAATYGCTGCCTTTGGGTTCAGACACCAACACTGGAGTGCTGGATTTGTTCAGAGAGTCCCTCCTGTTGTGCTGGAAACAGGGCAATGGGGGCAGAGGGCAGGCAGAGGGATCTCCTCCACGTGTCCATGGCTGGGCAGGAGCTTAGGAAATGCTCAGGGGATGCCTGGGGGATGCTTGGGGGTTGCTCAGGGGTTGGGAACTCCTCACTGGCTTTTCTTGATGCTTCTCTCACCGAACATTGGTTCTGATCCTAAACTGGGGACATTTCACAGCGAACAGAACACTGGAGAATGCTCTGGAGGCCAGAATTTCCAGGGCAGCCTGAAGGGCTCAGTGCATAGCCACAACCAGCCCACCTCAACCCACAGCTCAGAAAACACCAAGGAGAATAAGAGCTGAGCCCTTGTGGGATGAATCTCTTGGCAAACAGCCAGCCAGGATTATTTTTCCCTGGGAACAGCWCTGGGAGTCCCTGTGGCAATAACAGAGCCGCAGGGAGCCCCCACCCTTTGAGTCAGAGCTGATGGAGATGAACAGTTAATTAGGGCGGGATTAGCCGGGGACAATCCGTGCCCCGATCCCCGCTCCCATCCCTGCCCCCATTACCGCTCCGA